TGGCTTTGGCATATAGTGTTTGGCCTTTATGAACTGTTTCTAAATCTAAAACATTTTCATAATGAAAGCACCTTTGGAGGTGAGGTTTAAACAAAATAGTATATGGCAAGAACTTAGTAATATACTTTGCATATCACAGAGCTTAATAAATGGCAATTACTATTAATAAATAGTAATTACTATATTTCTGCTGATTGCACTTTGGAAAAATCTGATCTTCGCTGGGCAGTACACACAGGTGCCCACTACCCATCCCCACTGCAGCCTTGCTGATCCCAGCTGCCATCGTCTCTCAGCCTGGCTAGGATAGCACTTCCTCAGGAGCCCTTCTTTGGCTCTGGCCATCCTAAAAGTCATTGTGCACATGTCTGCCAGAATGATTTAAAAAAAAAAATCCAATTAAATCATATAATTCTCTTACTTCAAGCCCTTGGTGGCCTGTCATTGATTAAGAAAGTCAAAGTAGAGGCTAGGGAGATAGCTCAGTGGTCTAAGCACCTGCCTGGCAAGCACAAGGATCCAGCTCTGATCCCTGGTACTGCATGTAGGCCCACTCCATGCTGTGCGGGCCACCGAAACCAGGTGCGGTGCTGCACGCCTGTCATCACAGCTCTGGGGAAGCTGATACAGGAAGATCACTCTGTGTCCGAGCTGCATAGAGAGGACAATACCAAAAAGAAAGAAAGAAAAAAAGAAAGAAAGAAAATCAAATTGAACTTTTTTTTTACTGTAGTCTACAAGCAAGGTCAGAACTAACCTAAATATCAAAGGAAGGAAAGCCAGGGTGGGGTGGAATAAGAAGATATACATCTGTGTTCACTTGCTAAGATTGCCAGACCAAAGTATCAATGAACAGCAGGTGTAAACAGCATATTTTTTTCACAGATCTTGAGGTATCAAGGAGCCAACAACAAGATATTTATAAACTTGTTCTCCTTGGCTTAGAGATTCAGTCACCTTTCTAGATCTGTACATGGTGTTTTCTAGGTGTGTGTTTGTGTTCTAAACTCCTTTGGATAAAGACATCAATCATATGAGATTAGAACCCACTTCACTGACTTCCTTTTAATGTAATGGCCTCTATTTCAAGGCCTTATCTCCTAAGATGGTCACATTTCATGGTTCTGAGAGTTAAGGTTTCAGCATGTGAATTTGGGAATATAATTTATCCCATAACAATCTCCTTATGCATCTCTCTATCTCCCACTGGCATTCTTCCAAGCTCTTTTTCATGTGGCTTTAACAGCAGACACCATGACACAAAGCAACTATAAATACTTTGCTTAAAAGATGCCACTTTTCAGAATATGTGCTCCAGGGTAGATGCTCTGCCTACAATACCCAGGTCTTTGTTCTTTTTGTGGCTTTCATTTTTTATCATTCTCTTATTCTTGGTTTTGCTTCAGCCTCACTGGCCTCTTTTCTCCAATAAAGCCTTTCCCTGACCTTAACCTTTGTCCTGTAAAGTTCTTCCCACCTGGGATCCAGCTTTTATCCTTACTCATGCTTATCCTGTGGGCCTTTGTTTAAACCTCACTGCTTTGAAGATGCAACTCTGAGCTCCAATCTAAAGTGGGTTTCCCAGTCTGTCCTGCTCTGAACATCCTATCCCAAGACATCATTTATCCCATGATAACATTCTGTCATTTATTTGTTTACTAGTGAAACTCATCAGTTTCCTTTGCTATGACAGTATTAGTGCTGTCACAGGACCTAGCATGTAGCTGGTACTCACTCCAGTATTTACTGAATGAATACCAAGTGAAATCCCTTCACCAATCTTAAACTTTTAGGAATTCACTCAATCTCAAAGAGCCATGAAATCATGTAACAGCAGATACTAGTTAATGTCACAAACAAACAATGGTGCTATAATTCTTGTTTTATTATTATTATTATTATTATTTTGTATTTCTTTTGTTTTGTTTTCTGGCAGAACCAGGGATTGAACTCAGGCTCTTGTGCTTGCCAGGGAAGCACATATTCTACTGAGCCAACTTCCCAGCCCCTATTTTGTATTTTTTAGGGAAGGATCTACAAGGTGTTCAGGGTCTCACTACTAGAGTGGACTCATAGTGATCCGCCTGTTTACAGCCTCCCAAGAGCTGGGATTACAGGGATGCACCACAATGCAGGGTCTCAATTGCTGTGTCAGTATGCCCTGGAGGCAGGACTGGCACAGCAGGCCCAGGAATTTAACCCTCAGCCCCTGTGCCTGCTTGCAGGCGCTTTAATGCGCTGAGCTAATTGGCCAGCCCTAAAGGGGCTATAGTTCTTTTTGTATTTTGGGGTTTTATTTTTATTAATTTTATTGAGAAAGAAATAACATTGAGACAGTTTCAAAACAGGTTAGTGGGACAGTTACAATGATTAATACATTGCATATTGTTGTCTTCATAGTAGTTATTCATATTATAAGATGCAGATGTGATATCTTGTCTAAGTAGTATTAATACAAATCTTTCTTCTCATTGAACTAAGAGAAAGTAGTTGTATATCTACCCTATTTTGTATATACATATATATTTTTTCACTACAAAATGGTCCTTCATTTATATCCCCCTTTTTTTGTTTAGCTTTGTCAGAGATGCTTATTCCATTGCCATTCAAATATTGTAGGTGTGTGAGTTCAGCAAAGTAATTCAATGTAGTCCAGTAGTCCATAATAGTAGTGGGTTATCTGCAGGACTGGCTATGTCAGAAACTCTTGACCTAAGCCTTTTATCGCTTATGGGGTTGTAGTTCTGAACACAATTTTTTTTTTAAGAATTGGTAAAAGAGTAATATGTTATGTAAGAATTTTAGGACACCTGTTATCATCATGGGAGGATTAAGACCATAAGAATTAGCATGCACCACACACTTTAAAATGAAATAATAAGGAAAAATATTGCCTAATTCTTTATTTCCTTATATTCACCTCACTTTCTCAGAATACGTATGATATCATTATGTTATAGAGTACAGTGTTGTAAATTCTATTTTAGGAGCAAACAAACAATGTCTCTTTCTGTACATGATAGGAAAATGAGCAGCTATACATAGGAACTTGTTAGAAATGCAAATTGTTGGACCACACCTTACACCTACTAAGTCAGAAAATCTGGGAGCGTGGTCCTGCAATCTGTGCTTTAGTAAGCCTCCAAGTGACACAGATGTAGCTAAAGTTTTAGGATTGCTGCCCTAAAATGATTTTTAGAGTGACTTTTGGCTCTTCAGGAATCCTACCCTGTTGTTAGACAACATGGACCTTAACTGTTGAGTCATCTATGTCCCTTTGCCCTGACTTGCAGTGAGGCAGTATTCCTGTTTATCTGTCCTTAAGTAATTAGCAGAGTGACATCTTCCACATTTAAGCCTGTTTGAATGCGACTGCTATCTTCTAAGGTTCAATATATATTACCTGCCTCTTGTATTACCTACTTCTAGGACAAATGGACTTTAATGAGGTTATTGCTACTTTTTAATTTTTCATTCAAATAAAAATATATTTAATGCCTTTACTTTCTGAAGACGTAATTTTTTTAAAAAGTGTAAAATCTATGAAAAATGGACATGTGCTATACTTTTCATCTCACTAAACTCTCAAAGGCTGTGCTTCTTTAGGGTACTCATTTAATAAAGAATTTTATCATTCTCCCCCTATCTTAGTGTGTCTAAATCTTTGTTTTAGAGTGAGAAACATTTGGACTCATTTTTATGAGCTAACATTCAATTTGTAGCATTCAATGATACAAATTGCTTTTAGTTTTTCGGGTATAAATCGAATTTCCCCACCTATAGCCAAGCGGTATATTCTACCTCGATAGCATATGTTATTATTGCTACTTGTTGAGCATGTAGCCTCAGGCCACACAGGTTTAAACTATTATTTAAGAAACTATGTTTAAGGAGGACAACAATTTCTCTATTTTCTTTTACCAATATAATACTATATTATCTGCAAGAACAACTAGTATCATTATTGAACACATCATCTCATGACTAGAAAAAGTGATTTACATTGTTATCTCATCTAATCCCCTTAATACTTATTAAAATCTTTGCCTAAGAAGATATGTGACCTAACCAAAATCATGCAACTAGAATCTTTTGGAGCCAAATTTAGACTTCAGAATCCAGATTTTAAACATACTAAACCCAGATGGTGGTAATGTTCCTTTGTCTAAAATCTGTCTGCCATATTATCATCATTATTCCCCTTTTTCTTTCTGCCGAAACATCCCTATACTTGTTCTTGAATCAGTTTTACTTAGACATAAGAGGGAATCTGAGTAATGGCTGCTATGAGGCTAAAAGGCAAACTAATATGGAGCGAGCACATTTATGACAGAGTTACTGTGCTTAGTTAGATCTCTGTAAAACTCTTCCCTAATAGGTGGGGTTGATGCTAGCTCACTTTGGCCTAAGTGACTTGCCAAAGATCACCGAAATATTGGTAGGCTGAATACAATGGGGGTTTCTCACAGGACAACTGTGTTTTGACACCATTAACACTGGGTGGCACTCCCATTGTTAAAGTTATTACCACCATCTTTAAACTCTCTAAAGATATGTTCCTTGCAATTCTTATGGATTCTCTCCTCTTTACTCATGGTCCTCCTTGTTAGTATAGTGGTGCGTATCCCTGCTTATCTTTACTCTTCTGGCAACACTTCCTCATTTTCATAGTTTATTTCTTTATGAAGTGCTATCAGATGAGATGCCACACAAAAATCACAAAAGCTAAAAGCTTCTGTGTCTCTACACTACCTGTTGTAACTGCCCAGGGGTGATATTTGAAGCCTGCTAAGTAATTGGGTCCCCCCCCCCCTTTAAGCAAACAGTGTTTTCTGGTTTGATTGTATTTTGGACTACATGCTTTTTTAGAAATTTATAACTTCACTGAAGATGCTTGTAAGAACATGGTATTTCTATCTGTGTTTATTCTATTTACCTAACTCTCCAAGGCTGTAAAACTGTAATTATTTTTTCACTCTTATTTACTTCATTTTTACTAGGTCCTGTCACAGAAGTTAAAACTGATATATATGTCACCAGTTTTGGACCTGTTTCTGATGTTGAAATGGTAAGTGTTTGGGTAACTTAAGGTATCTTTTGAGATTTGAAGAAAACATGCCAGAGAAGAGTCAATTAATATTTCTTTTTGAGTCAGTTATACAAAATTGGAAAGTCAAAGAGTGCTGAAATTAAAATTAAAAGCTTGTAAGAAGTAAAGACATACTTTTTTTTTTTGCATTTCAGCTCTCTTATATTTGAGTATGTATAGATTTGGAGTTAGTCTCAAACAAGAGAACTTTCCTATTATTAGTTCCATAGCAGAATACAGGATATAGTTTTGTTTTCTTTTGAAAACTATTGAGTAGAATTATTATGGTCCTCCTTGTTAGTATAGTGGTGAGTATCCCTGCCTTCTCTACTCTCTGGCAACACTTCCTCTTTTTCATAGCTCATTTCTTTAGGAGGTGCTATCAGATGAGAGGCCACACAAAAATCACAAATAAGAATAAGAAATTTCAGTTTTCCCTATGGGTATGGCTGGTAGCCCTAATGACACGTGCTACCTCATGTTGACCAAACTGCTTCTGCCCATCCTTCTTTTCCATCTCTTCTTCCCTCTTTCATGCTTAATTGCTAAGATCTGGGCAGGAAAAATTTATCCATTCAGTCATGTTGTGTTATATTAAATATATTTATTTAAAATGACAAAAGAACCTACTTTATTTTTTTCTTGATCCTAGGATCCTTATGATCTGAAACTCTCGGTTTATTTGCCTGATTTTAATAAACTTGGTGAAAACAAAATTTACATTTTAAACATCTTACTTTATCTTAAGACATGCTTACAATTTGATCATTAATTATATAATTTATCATTCACTGAGTTTTGCTTTCTGGACCAACCTAAAGCACTACTGTAATTACCTGGTGCTGGCTGGCAGTTGTATTAAATTACAGTAATTATTTTTGAATGATTAATTTGTGTGGTAATTTATTTCTTATGATGTAGAAGATGAAGGGATCAAGATAGATATAACCTACTGTAATTACTGAGAATCTTTTTACTCTATTGATTTGGGGTCATTTTTGCTTCTATTCATTTCATTTGGAGTAATGCTTTTCTCTGAGTGGGAAAGAGGCTAGAATTCAATGTATTTTCTACACATATATGTGCAGTTATCTGTGATTTGAATAGATTCCCAAATTAATTTCCCTAGGAATATACAATGGATGTGTTCTTCAGACAGACATGGATTGACAAAAGGCTAAAATATGATGGCCCTATTGAAATTTTGAGATTGAATAACATGATGGTAACAAAAGTGTGGACCCCTGATACTTTCTTCAGGAATGGAAAGAAATCTGTCTCACATAATATGACAGCCCCAAATAAACTTTTCAGAATTATGAGAAATGGTACTATTTTATACACAATGAGGTAATCATTTTTTTGTGTGTCCTGTTTTATCCTTTTTTCCCTTCTCTTCTTTTCCCTCTCTCCCTCTTTTTTCCCTTCCTTTCATCCATCTCTCTTATCCTCCCATTTTGGGGACCTATGCAATTAAGTTTACTAATTAAATTAATAATAATTAAAATATTTTATACCACTAATTAAATATTACAGAATAATTTAATTTAATTTTAATAATAACATTTAGCAACTTATTTTCATTGAATTGCATCTTTCCATCATAGACTCACTATAAGTGCGGAGTGTCCCATGAGATTGGTGGATTTTCCCATGGATGGTCATGCGTGCCCTTTGAAATTCGGGAGTTGTAAGTTATAACAGAAATTTTGTTCAAATTTCTGATTATCTCATGCAGGGTGATATTTATATACGTAGATTTTTCATAATCTAAAATGCAAGTTCTATTCATGACAAAAATCATCCAAGATACGATTTTTAGGAAACTGTTTATTCACTAACTCTTAAAAATGAGGAACTAAAACTCCCCTACCCAGAAACAAAAGCATGCCTGTACAGATAACCTGAGTAGACTGAGTCATGATCAATAAATCATGGCCAGTCATGAGATTTAGGGATATCTGAACGGTATGTGTTGTGATGTAACACAAAAAGTGCAAAAATATTGTTTTGTTTTATGTAAATTTAAGTGTCATTGGTAGGTAGAGACCTTTATAGCTGGCCTGGAAAAGGCAAAAAAAAAAAAAAAAAGAAAAATAAATAAAGCAAAACATAAAAACCCCTCCTGACTCGGTTACACGATATAGGTTAAAACATCACGAGCAACACTGCTAGTGGCTGAAGCACGAGGAAAGCATAGCAGACAATGAAGATGTGAGAGAATATCGTCCCTCGCAGACCACATTAAGGACTTTGGATTTGTCTAAAAGCAAGGGGAAGGCCTTGCAAGGTTTTACAAAGAGGTGTGGCTCTCTTTCATTGAGATTTCTTGATTTTACCTGAGCCTGTTTATAGAGAATGGGTTAAAACAGGCAGAAATAAACATAAAGGAAAGCTGGAGTCTGTTGTTTTAGTACAAACAAAGACAGCAGTGATTTAGACTAGAATGATGGTGAAGGAGTGAGTGGGAACTAGACAGGTTTAGCAAATTTTGTAAAGATAAAGTCAAAGGGAAGATGAATGGTTAGGAGAGAGCTTGAGATTCCTCTCCTCGAGCCCCCTTCTCTGAGGTGCCAAGGAGATATGATTGCTCTTCTAAGGTCTGCCTCCACATGCGATTCAATCAGAGTCTACCAAAAATAGATGCTGGCTGGCTTTTACTATTGCTTCAGACTCATCCTTGTACTGATTGGGAAACAGTTGCCTGCTGTTATCATTGCTCATTGCTTCACTTAATGAGAATTGGCAGCCACCATTCTTTTTATAACCCTAGCAATCACAGTATTCAGTGGGCTAACTTGGAGCTAGACAAAGTCATTTGCTCCCTGACCAATGTTGTAATGAGAGAAGACAAAAACAGAAAAAGCACAGAGACACAAAGTGAGATCTCACTGGGTCCAGAATTAAAATGCAATTGTACTGTAACAATTAAAATTTCACACAAAGTAGCTATCTGGAGAAAGTCCTTTTTCTCCCTCTTGCTCCCTCTAGTTCTCATACAAAGCTCACTTCTGGGTGACTTGAGCATAGTTGGTGCTCAATTGGGCTTTGTATAAAATTAAAGACCTCACATTTTGGAAGCTGATGTTTTCAATTGGGAATTTAAAAGAGAGGCACATCATATTTGGCAAGTAAGGACCCTACATTTTTCTGGAAAGAGAAAAACACTTTGTTTATGGTTCAGAGGAATGAGAAAAGCTAGGAAAGAAAGAGCGCTGCTATAGCAAGGTATGGTAGCCAAGAGGAGGATATCCAATTTAAAATATCACAGAAAGGAGCACAGTATACAGGGCTTTCAATAGATAACACAGTGTGAATAGACCTCAAGAGATAAATACTGACACATAGCTGGGTAATAATAAAAATGACAACACAAACCTCATGGCTTGTTTTGCAAGGTCCTTTGTAAAGAGATTCTCCCCAGGTATGGATTTCTTTAGTAGAATTAAACAATTCCCCTGAGGACCACCTGTGTTCTAGCCATTTTAGGGAGGTTTGTAGAGAGCAGGCAGGGAGCGGTGATACACAATTCATTTGGGTTCTTTGGAACTTATTTGTGTGTGAGCCAAGCTATCTGTTCTGGGGAGAGTGGTAAGCAAGCAGCTGGTCTCCATTTGCACTGAACACCAAATAATAGAAAATGGGCTTAGATTGCTACTGGGAAGGATTTGCTGAAGATAGAAGGGGAAATGTACTGATTGTAAGAGTTTAAAGGTAGTGGAGCTGGTTGTGTAATTATATTCCCTGGAGAGTTTTACAAACAGCATGGCCAGTTGTCACTGTACAATGGTTACAAATAGCCTGGGTATTGCCCAAAGGCAGAGGCTAGAAGCAGTGACCCCTGGAGAGCTCCCCCACCAGTAGAATTTGCTTTTATTTTTTATTTTTTGTATTGCTAGAGGCAGCATCTGGTACATGTCTAAATGGAAGAGCTGCTTTAGGATGGAAGAAGTCAGTACTGGTCAAGCACTGGAGGAGAGAAATGAAAACAGTAGGAGTTTGACAGTACAGTTTGGGGGGTTAATAATCTGTTTTCAGCTGCTCATCTTATTAGCATGAAAACATGTCCAAGTGCATTGATGCATATGTAGCCTTGTGGATGCCTCAATTTTAGTCTCTTCTCCAATTCTTTGGCACAAAGCCAATAATTCCCGCTCAATTGCAAAGCTATTTGTTTAATATCTGGTTTCCTAAATCGTAAGCATGTTTGAATAAAACATAATGAAAGCTCCTTTCATTTATTCCATCTTTCTTGAACATGTGTTACGTTATCACATGTGGATTGCCATTGCTGACAAAAGAGAAGCCTTGACTCTCACCACGTTTTCCTTTCACATTCAGATGCATATCCAAAGAGTGAGATGATTTATACCTGGACAAAGGGTCCTGAGAAATCAGTGGAAGTGCCAAAGGAGTCTTCCAGCTTAGTTCAGTATGATCTGATTGGGCAAACGGTATCAAGTGAGACTATCAAATCGATTACAGGTGAGATCCTTAAGGTTTGAAATCAATATGCTTCTCTGCACCAGCAACAGAGTTTTGTCGTAGAATTTTTTTTTTATTGAAATACCTAGTATTTTCAGAGGAAGAAAAAACATTTCCAGAAATAGAATTGATGCATAAACCACAGCTCAAAATTTCTTTATTTATATTTATAATCTTATTTCAGTTTAAAATAAATTGAGTTGTTGAGATGTGAGAAGAGAGTTGGTTTCTTATTTGGACACAAAAATCAGTTATCAAGTGCATTAACTCAACAAAAAATGTAAGGCAAGAACCCTGAGTCTGCCTTTTTGGTGTTTTATGAAAATGTGTCTTGTCCATTTTTAAGTCACACTCTTTTTTTCCAAAATAAGATCTAAATGTGAATTATGAAATACAGTGAGGATAGACACTAGTGTTGTCACCTAAGTAAATGAATGATTATTATCCATTATTTTTACCTTTAGAATGTAAATGGAATCATAGAATTTAGTTTTATCTTATCGATTGGGAAAAATCAGCTGATTTATGGCTTATTGTTTTCAAGTACGTGTATCACCAGGAAAATACTGAGTTTTGATGATAGTTGTTTTAGTCCAAATTTCTGAAAGCCAAGTATTTAATAAAGAACAGAAATGTTTTTCTCACTGCGCTGGAAGCTGAGAAGTTGAAAATTAAGGCGGTGGAAAGTGAAAAATTCAGGACATCATCTATACCTCAACTGTGAAACTACACAGTAGCCTCCAATAGGAACTTTTATCTGTCTAGGTGAAATATTTTTCAAACATACCCAGTGTCTGACAAGAGTCCCATTTCTGATCCATTAAATTGTCTTTTTTTCAAAATGTCCTGCTGTCACCAATACAATATGGAATACTTAAATATTTGTTAGGAGAATCGATTTTGGGTATTTTTTTTTTTTTTTTTTTTTTTTTTGCGTATACTAGGGATTGAACTTACAACCTCATGCTTGCCAGGCAGGCACTGTGCCACTAAACTATATCCCCAGCCCTGATATTGGGTATTCTTATCTTGAGAAATAATAAATAAAAAATGAGAAAAAATGTTGGAAGTGAAGGATCACTTTCTGACACAGATGGTGGTGATGGCTTCACAAATGGAAGCTCACCTTCAAACTAACCAAGTTGTACACAGTAAATATTTACAGCATTTTATGTGCCAATTATAAGCCATAAACTGGTTTAAAAATTAAAGTGAAATGAGGGAAAATTAATTATAAAAATAAAATGGATCTACAAGCTCTTATTAAACATATTCCACCTAGTGTCTTTTCTTTCTAAACTGCTTTGTATAAATCCACACAGGTCATGAAATCAACAGCGTTCTTCTTTTCCTCTAAATGTAGCGATTTTGATCTTCCAAACACCAGTCATGATTATCATTTTAAGGCCACTTTGTTCACATCAGTTGTAACACTATACAATGGGCTTCTAACAGGGCACTTTTGCTCCTGTGTGTCCTGGAAAAAAAATTCTTTCTTTAAAAAAGATACTCATTCTCCATTCTGCAAGTAGGACTTAACATATCTGGAGCATTTGAGGTTTGTGAACTGCCTCAGTGTGAATGAGACCACTGCCTCCTAAATAATGCCCTAGTGTACTTCCTTTTCTTTCAGACATAAGAATAAAAATAGTTAAGATTGGTTGCCAAGAGGCTGGGGAAATAGCTTGGTGGCATAAGCACCTGCCTGACAAATGCAAGGTCCTGAATTAGATCCCTGGTGCCACACGCCCTGCCTGCCCCTCGAACGGGCCTGGTGGCTCAAGCCAGTACTCCTAGTGCTACGGAGGCTGAGATAGAGAGGCTGAGACAGGATGGTCACTTGAATCCAAACTGTGTAGCAAGACCCTGTGTCAAGGGCCAGCAAGATAGCTCAGTGGACTAAGGCACTGGCTTGGGCAAGCTTAGACAAGTTTATGCAAGCTTATGCAAGCTGTGGATTGACCGCGGTTCAGTTGATCACCTGTAATCCCAGCGCTGGGGAAGCTGAAAACAGGAGGATCACTATGAGTCTGAGCTGCTTAGTGAGACCAGTCTCAATTGCCCTCTCAGCATGCTCCGGGAGCAGGGCCAGCACGTTAGGCCAGGGGATCAAACCCCTGGCCTCTGCACCTGCTTGAAGACACTTTAATCCACTGAGCTATTTGGCCGGCCCTAATTTTACATATTTTATATATAAATGAAGTGTCTGTGTTTAATTTCTTTTAAAAATTAAAGCTTATAGCTTTTTAGTGGTTTTCTGTAAAGGTTTTGTTTAGATTCTGTTCTCAGGAATTGCTGAAAATGAAAGCTGATAACTGTAGCAGTATTAAAACTTCAAAGTAGAAATCAATGTAGCCACCTTTATAAAGTTATAGTCCAATTCATTAAATTGCTTAATGGCTGCAAGGAGCAAAAGTGTTTTTCTGAATAATGATGTCCAAAATCATTTATCTTCCCCTCTCACCTGTTAAGAATCAATGCAGTTCTCATTCTTTGTATTAGGCAAGAAGATAATAATTTTGCTTAGAATATTGTTTGTTCTTCTGCAATGTGATCATGAAGCTATTGAACAATTGCCCACAGAATCAATGATACATTCTTTTTTGTGTCTTTGTGGTAGGTGAATACATTGTTATGACAGTTTACTTCCACCTCAGACGGAAGATGGGCTATTTTATGATTCAGACATATATCCCATGCATTATGACGGTGATTCTTTCTCAAGTTTCATTCTGGATTAATAAGGAATCAGTTCCAGCTAGGACTGTATTTGGTAAATGCAATTCCTTTATTGGATGGTATTATCCACGTGCTGTTTTAATCACAATTCAGGAGGATAGCCTCAGATAGTTCTAGAAAATATCAGTCACCAACATACTGGCTAAATAATCATACATGTTTCATGTTTCCCTAGCCAAGGCAAAGTACTGATGCGAGGAGACACGGACAGGCTGCCTCTTTCTTTGGGACTACATCAAAGGCCCCCGATAAGCACTAGTCAGGTGAAGACCAAGCACGAATCTGCTCCCAGTTTCACCTTCAGTGATATGCTTGGGCTTCTAACATAAAGCTGTGTAATTGAATTAAAATTATAACTAGGTGTTAAAATGAAGTGCACTCAGAGCTTAAAATAAAACACATTTCATGGCTGAATGAATATGAAAGCCTTTGAATAACTTGGGTTTTATTGAAAAGGAACAAAACAGAAATGCTTTAAATGAATTGAATTATGTGCTAGTTTACAAGCTCTTTATTATATTCTATTCACAGAATGTTTTTCTTAAGTTTTTGTTTTGTTTTTTTTTTTTTTCTGTAGCAGGGATTGAACTCAGGACCTTGTGCTTGCCAGGCAGGCACTTACACTGCTGAGCTATTTCCTTGGCCCAATTTTCTTAACAGACATCTTATCTTTCTTTCTTTCTTTCTTTCTTTCTTTCTTTCTTTCTTTCTTTCTTTCTTTCCTTCTTTCTTTCTTTCTTTCTTCTTTCTTTCTTTCTTTCTTTCTTTCTTTCTTTCTTTCTTCCTTCTTTTTTCTGTAGCAGGGATTAAACTCAGGCCCTTGTGCTTGCCAGCAAAGCGCTTATTCCACTAAGCCATCTCCTTGGTCCTATTTTACTTTTTAAATTAATTTATTTATTTAGTTTCTTAGAGTGTTCTCAATCATAAGAATTCTAGAACAGAATGAAGTGGGAACTTAAAGTTTTTGTACCTGTTGATGTTTTTTAGATATCACTTCTGCTTTTATAACACAAAATTACTTATACTGCTTTAATTTAATATTTTCTCTATTTTTTTCTCTGCTTATTGTGACTAACGAAAACATTCAATGGTAGAATGAGAACAATAATCAAAAGTTCTCTGAAACACAGGCATAATCTTCACATGAGATACCAGTTTCCTTTTGCTTATTTATTTATTTATTTATTTATTGTGGAACCGGGGATTGAACTCAGATCCCTGCGTTTGCCAGTCAAGCGCTTATCCTACTGAGCCATCTCCCCTGCCCCCCACTTGCTTTTATATTTAGCAACACCAACACCACGATACAATATCCCTTATCAGACAATGACTGCAGAAGACTAATGAGAAGGTGCTGGAGGCAGGGAGAGCCCTTCATCCTCCCTCTCCATCTTTTAGAGAACTACAAAAAGGATGTCTTCATCCCCCCAAGAAGCCTCTGCTCCCTTTAGTCTTAGGCTCACATAAGACATTTGAGTCATAAGGGAGAAACTCATATAGAGGGCCAACGTTAAGAGGCAGAGAGGGCAGTGAGCAGGTACAGTGTTACCACCTACTTCACAGAGTTACGAGATTCAATTAAGGAATAGCTGAACATTGCAATCAGAATAAATTTTAGCTAGCAGATAAAGCTATGAAAATAAAAGAGAGAAAACTATATGTAACCATTGGATACTGTAGGTCTGGGTTTAAAATCACACCTGTCATGTCTTTCCTCCATCTTTCAAGTGCGTTAATACATCTTTCCCTCACAGACATGTGAAGGTTATGTTCTGTATTCAATACAGGATGCCTGGTACATGTATTGTATGGTACCTACTCTCCCACCCTTCTCTCGCATAAAGGTGATTTATTTTGTTTCAACTTGGTTTCATTGTTTTTTTAAAAAAATAACTTATTACCTATCTATCTATTATTTATCCATCATCTATCATCTATCAATTATCTATCTACAATCTATCTATCATCTGTCTATCTATCATATACTGCCAGACATTGTGAAGGTTTTGATGTTCTTTATCTCATTTGAAGCTTGCACTAATTTTGAGTCCTTATACATCATGTTCCAAGGTAGCCTGGGCAAGAAATATTTACTGAGTGTGAACACTAGGTTGAACTCCCTTAACTCATTATAATACCAAAAATATTACTTCAGGAGCTATCATCATTAAAACTATTTAAACTTTGTGTTTCCATTAGGACCCATAATAAGAAAAGCACCTTTATGTGTATCATCTTTCTCTGTTCTTAAAGATCTAGAGCAGCAAACACTGATCCATTAGAGATGTCCGTGAGAAAGAGATAATGCTTTGATAAGTGGAGGCTTTGGCCCTAATCGTAGAATCCACAATGAACTTTCTGGGAGTTATTTCTATTTCTTCTTATGTTAAAAGAGGATGGATGCTTGGACTTAACTCATAGGATCATTGAGGATCAAATGAGTTAATTGGAATAAAACACTTGCAATAATGCCTCGCACATGCCACAGACTACTTAATGGCTGTTTTCTAGTGTGTCATTCCATGCTGCCCTCCACCTCATCTGTCAATCATTACTTGGTACTCTATAGTGAATCATCTGAATATTTCAGTAATATTGTAATTAGTTGATAAACTGAATGTCTTCTCAGCTGATGACACACTGGCAGCTACTTAATGTTGAGTCTCACTTGTGCCCAAATAATAGAAATTTCCAGTCATGTAGGAAGAGATCGTACTTTATCTGTACCTACCTAACATTTCTTGTCTGCGTAAGATAGTATAATAAAGTTAAATAGCATGTATTAAGGATATTAATATTACTGGTCCCAATGATGATGGATTTCACATATAGCATTGAGTCATCTCATTTACTTTTATAATAATGCAGCAAAGTAAGCATTGCCAGTTTTGTATAGGTAAGGTAAAACCTGCTGAAGCATACATCAAGTCGCTAACATTGAGAATGCAGCCACGCTGCCTTCACAGCAGGTTAAGGCAATACAAAGGCATTGAATTCCAGAGTTGCTGCGTGAGCCTGTGTGGATGTGTGGTACAGTTACTTTGATTTCAGTCTGAAAGTTGAAATTTATCCATTTATGCCCATGTGCCAAAATATTGGTTTTTTTGATTCAGAACATTATGTCAGTAAGTAAGATTGCAAAGACCTAAGAGGCATTGAATGGTGTTCATTAAACTGCTCATTGAAGGTCTAGGATAGTTCTTTCTTAGATAAGAAAACTTTGAAGTGTTTGAGGGTGTTGCTCATCTATTTCGTATGATGTTTAGATGGATATTAGTTCTGGGCTGATTTTTCTCTTTCCCAATTCTTATTTCCTCTTCCCCCATAATGAGGGAATTGGCTGGGTCAGAGATGTCACTATAGATTATGCAAAACAAAAACAAAAACAACAACAACAAAAAAAAACCAAAACATCAGTGTAAATCTGAAAAATTGAGTGTACTAAATTCTTTTCAAAGGACTTCTCTCTCCAAACATGTATGCTGCTAAGTTTTCTAATTATTCCTGTATGGTAAAACATCAGACACAAGTAAATGCCAGCTGGCATATCTAAAGCATTACTATTGGCTTTTCTAGGAATGGCTAGCCAAAAATTCACTCTGTGTACAGTCTTAGCCTCCTCTTTTGTATCCTCTCCCAGCTTCTGGGCCAGCCAATATGGTTCATCTTCAGAATTCTAAGTGCAAGCACTGGCATTAACACTAGAACGTGTCAAAAAATTATGGCTTTGAAATGTTTTCAAGGTAGAGTCAGCTAAGCTATTTAAAGCAAATGAACCATCTTTTTTAAATGCGAAGGAAGCATGAATTCTTATCTGAAGTTTTGGCTTCTGTTTGCTACTTCACATTATGTTTATTTGATCAAAAGATCTACCTAAAGCCAGCTATAAGTACACTCCTATTTTGTGGATGCTTTAGAAAAATTTGAACAGTGGTCAGAGAGAACATGTTCTAATGGATGGCGACTTTTAAGCCTTTAACCAGATTTTTATGCCAGCTAATTTTACAGTCATAAAATAGGAATTATAATATCCAGATGGTGATTCCACAAACTTTAAAATAAAACTGATTCAAAACAATGAAAGGAAAATGAAACATAGCCATCTAGCCAGCATTTTTTGTATTAGTATCCACAGCATCATTCAAGTCATGAACTTGTTGCTCTGTCCCCCCACATAGTTAGAATGTAATTTTTGTTTCATGACTCAATAATTGCATTAGTACTCTGATTACTCAAGATTAATGATTTTTTTTCAGATGACAGTAAGAAAAATGAAGGCAGCTACTTCTGAGTCAAGGAAGAAACTACTCTATTACCCAAACTAAAATACCTACTATTACATATCTTAAATGTTATAGACTATATTTGAATTCTTCATAGCCCCTTACTTTTAAATTGTCATAAGAAAAACCATTTTTTTAAAATCTCTAAGCTTTGTAGCTATCAAAATTAAGAATTGTTCATATACCTCATTGCCAGAATGAGGATGGTACCTTGCCTAATATTTCAAGCCCTTTCTGAAACAAAGTGAAATACACAATAATGCATCTCCTTAGGTATGCATATATTTAACTATATAAACTATGTTAGGTCAATAAAAGATCAAGCAATTTACAAAAATTATAAAAAATACAATCAAATAATCAAATATCATTATACAGTTTATAGAACGTTTTTAAAATCTAAGCTCGTGTGCTATATAGATGGCAGTTTTCACACTCAACACTGAAGCTTCTGAAAGAATCTGAGAGGAAACAGTTTCAGAGAAAATGGATTAGAGAAGAACTGGAAAATGAATTTTTATTTAGTGTTTAGTTTTCATATTCCCTACACAATATAAAATATTATAGTGATCCCTGAATCTGCATTAAACACGTCTGCCCTCAGTGGGACTCTACTTAAGCAAGCTGGTGAGTTCAAGGACAGCTGAAATTGCATGTGAGATCCTATACTATCTCAGAAAAAGAAAAATCAAGTTGGATATGGGACTTGCATCTATAGAACCATAAGGGAATACTATAAGGCAGAATGTAGCTAACTTCTAAGTTGAGGAGACAATGTTATGTACCCCAAAGTAAAACAAGAATTTTTTCTTCACTTTTGTATAAGCTCACTATCTCTTCCATTGAACGTGCATTATTTACCTTTCAGTTGGTGAATGTCATGGATTGGAATGCACTGTTTGGCTGAGTGCTTGCTGTTGTTTCTCCATCATCATCATTACCACTATCATCATCATTCTCCTCCTCAGACTGTGTGTGTCAACTTCAGGACCTTTTCTAAGTATTACACAGAATGAAGTATGTCATAAATTCTCAAGAATTTCTAGGCCTAAGTATGAAATATGTTGTAGACAAACAACTGTAAGTGGAAAAGGAGACCACTATACAAATATTAATATCATCGCATAATACACTACTTTATGGTTCCACTGGTAAGTGGAATTTTGTACTGAGAATTGTGATTTACCTTTTTTATATAGGCTAAGGAGGGTACTTCCTTGAAAGTGCTACTTTAGAAGACGGGTGTCTTGAATTAGTAAAGTTGTTAACTAAATAGATAACATGCAGACAAAGATTTAGCTGTATATGATGGAATATCCCTCTAATCCAAGCTCTCTGGAAAGCTGAGACAATCAAGCCTAAACATTCAGTGACCCAGCCAGTATCTGTCTCAAAATATTTTTTAAAGTAGATCTGGTAATGTAGGTCATTGGAAAGGCTCTGGGCTCCATCTCCAGTACCAAAAAGGAAAAAAAAAATGTATATAACTTGTACTTTTTCCGGCAGTAATTCTTAGTGGCAGTGGGCCATGCATACACAGGCATTCTGATGCTTCAATGTAGAAGGCCACTGTCCATGGCTTTCTGCTCCTGGATGGGCATCATTGCTTCAGGGAGTCATTCTTCCCACTAGGTATATATTGATTCCTTAGGTATACTGGCCCAGATTCCTGTACTCATTTACTATATGCTACTTTTAATTTTTGTAGTATATTCGGTAGGTATTGATGATACTCTAGTGAGTTTTCTAAATAATCCAAATCACATTGAGCTAGTGATTAAAAGAGCAACAAAGTGAACTAACTGCACATCATTCACACCAAAGTTTTCACTAATTTCACTGATCCACTCAGATTCCCATCAGCCAGAGATGGTTTTGTTCGAGTTACTATTATTTTTGTGAATAACATCCCACCTAACATCTCAGGGTTTATTTGTTTGTTTGCTTTGCATTGCAACCAAAGTAACCCATTTCATCTCTGTTCTTTTGCCTTAAAGGAATAACCACAGTCCTCACTATGACCACACTAAGCATCAGTGCAAGGCATTCTTTGCCCAAAGTGTCCTACGCTACCGCCATGGATTGGTTCATAGCCGTCTGCTTTGCTTTTGTATTTTCGGCCCTTATTGAGTTTGCTGCTGTAAACTATTTCACTAATATTCAAATGCAAAAAGCCAAAAAGAAAACATCAAAATCTTTTCCGGAAATTCCAGCTGCACCTGTGCCCAGTGAGAAGCAGCCTGAAGCTCCTCTGCAGGTATTTGATTTAATCTCATTCAGTTTAAAATTTGAGCTTCTTGGGGGGAATTGTGCCCCAGGGGCAATGCCAATTTGTAAACATCAATGCCAATTTTTAAGTAATTTAAAGAACAGGCAAATGTAAGAAGGCATATGTAAATTCATGCTTTAAAACAGTGATTATTAGCTTAAACGTTAGGTCTCAATGTGCTGGGTGTAGGTAAGACTAGTTTTTGAAGGTTTCTTTCAGAATTAAAGTCTTCTGCAGAAAAAGGAAAAGCTTGTGCATACTACTAAAAGGAGCTTGTGGATGTGTTTGAGTGGGCTTGGAATGTATTTTAGTAGAGTTCACTGAACAAAGTAAAACTGGTTTTTAATATAACCCCTCATGATTTCTTCCCCTTATGAGAACTATTCCAGGGGCCTGGGGGAGATCTGTTCCCTTCTATTAAAGAAGAAAACAAACACAGGTCAAGTCGATACACCTGTAAATCTGAGAATTCTTGCTGTAAAGTGGCACATCTAGGAGAAAGTTTTTATTTTTTATGACTTAAAAATATTAATTTTAATGAGTAAGTTTTTAATAACAAGTAGTATAGCATGCATTTGGGTTTTCAGAGATTTCATGGTTAAAGTAAAAGACTGTGTTTTCCCACATTGTCCATAATTGTCTAAACACTGTAAGACCTTCATGAAAACAAATCAACAGGCAAAATCTTTTTCCCCTTTTCCTCCTTTTACTCAACTTCCTCCTCCAAACTTCTGCTTTTACTTTCTATCTCTTTCCTTATCTATGCTCACTACAAACAGCTTATTGTAGTTGTCACAAATGATAATCTAGTACCCGAATCACAGTATTTAGAAATCGCTTTTTCCCATACCTTCTTCATTAATTCTTTCTTATCCAACAAATATATATTTAATGGGAACTATACTTCAGACTCTACTTAGAGTCCAGGAATCAACATGTTAAAAAATCTGCAGTATGGAGTTTACACTTATTTATGTGGAAGAAGGTAGGGGAAAAAAACAATGTTTGGAAACAAACAATAGAACTGGTGGTTTGTTAGGCAGACAGAATGCTGTGATGATATATTGCCTAAAATGGTCAGGCAGTGCAAAGGTAGGAGCCCAAGTGTCCGCCCTCTTGAAGACTGCCTGGTCAGAGTCCTGTAGTCTACAGCTCTACTCCTACAGGACTCCAGACAGTGATCTCTAAGAACGGCATGTGAGTAGGTAGGAAAGGGAATCACTCACCAGTGAGTAAGCTTAAGTAACATATATTTTTTCTAAATGAATCAATTCTATCAAGATTTTCAAAATTATCAAAATGCATTTTGTATCCAATTTTTAGTGTAAAAAATAATAACCAAATATGCAGTTTTATTTTTTTTCCTCATTCTCCATGTATAAACTAACGTTCTCTCTGCCCTACATCCTTATTTTATTTTGTTTTGCTCTGTTGAGCTGAAGGTTTAATTGAAGAATTCCATTTATGGCTTCTTTAAAAAATCAATTCTTGCATTTATTTTATGTCTCTGTTTTCTAATTGATTTATGACTGTATTTCAATTTTATTTTTCTGCAGGTTAATTTTGTTAATCTTTTGCTAGCTTTTTGAGTTTCCTTATTATTAATTTTCACTGTTCCTTATTTAATATAAAGTTTCATAGCAATGAAATTCTGTCTACAACTTTGGTCATGATTCATAATACCGATATGTGATATATTTTTTTGCTAAAAATTCTGTAGCTACATTGTTGCTTTTTGGTTTGAGCCAAAAATATTTGGAAATAATATTAAATTTTCCAATTGGCATTTTTTTCATTAATGTGACTGTCATTTTTGTTGTATTGCATTTGTTCATAAATATTCCTATGCAGATTAGAGTGTTGTGAATATTTGCATTGTGAATTGAGTTATGTTAAAATCTTATAAATTTTTAATAGCAACTCTAAAGGTGCTAAATTTTGGTTATTAAGTCAGTTTTACTTAAAATATTATTACTTCACCATTTTAATTCTCCTCTAGTCTCCATTGCTTTTCAAATATTAATATGCAAACAGTTCTCTCACAACTATGAGATTGAATTTTTTGCATTTTAACAATTTCTGTGTTGTGTATCTTGATTCTGTGACATGCAAAACGTAGATTCACATTTGCTCTATTTCCATACCAATTCATGCATTTAACCATAAAATAAGCTTCTTATTTTTCTCATATGCAATGCCTTTTCCTTTGAATTCCATTAAATGTGATTTCAATTTTTATTCTTTTTCTCTTCTTGTGATGTGGGAAATAGAACACACACATTATGGATGCCAACCAAGCACACTACTACTAAACTATACCCCCAGCCCTGATGTTAATATTTTTATCCTGTTTTATAATCTTGCTGTTATACTTTTATATTTAAAAATTTATATTCTTTCATTCCTCCAGTGGCCTGGATATTATTTATCATTTTTATATCAGTAGTGATTAAGTTTAACTTTACAAACATTATTCCAACTTGTGATATTCTACTAATATTGAAGTTATAAAGCACACCATTTGTCTTATATTAACATTAACTTTATCAATTTTAGAATCACTCTAGTATTACGACTCTAGATTTATAAATGTATTTAAATATGAAGATGTGTACATATTTGTGTTTATAAAGAGTAGATATAATTCTCTTCATCTCCGTAAACTGAGGAAACTTACTGTACTGGTGCAATGATGAAATACTGTAAATACTGGAAAGTATTGCTTATTCAGAATAAAATTATCTACAGATCTCCAGAGATGAAGAAAATCCATATAATTTTCTATTTGGTCTCTTAAATATATTTCTTGTTTATAGCAGTTGACATCACTAATCAATGCTTGTTTGAATCTATCCCATTGGCTAAGGCCATTCTGATCTAGTAAGTCCTCTTTGTAGTGTGGAGGACCTATTAGGTACACGTGTCATGACACAAAATCAAGATGAAGGGTCTCTACAAAGAGCGTAAAGCTATATCATTCAAGTACTAAGAAGGACTTTAAAATAAAATTAGTCAAAATCTGTATTATGCATCACTCTTCTGAAATTTGTGACTTTGCATGGATAATGTCTTAGATCTTTACAGCAGTTTGCTTGAAGAATATCTGTATTCTAATGACAGTAATTAATGAATTGTGCCACCCAGCTTCCTGAGCCCCACTTTCCGCCAGAGTGCAGCTGGTTTTGTTGTGTCAGTGTCATTAAATGGCTTCAATATCAAGTTCAACTTTGAAGGTTGAGAGTACATTAAAATTAAAGGAGAGACAAGGGGGTAGATAGGTAAAAAGAGAGAAGAAAATCAAGAAGGAATGATTTGTTAAAAGCAAAATGTTGTAACATATTACTGGCAAGAAATAGTCTAAAAATTTGCTAAGATTTGAAGTTTCAGTAGAGATTCTAATCAGACAGCTGAAATTTGCTTATCAAAACATGAGTGCTACTATTTACTTATTTGAATGGTACTGTATTTGCTTAAAATGTGTTTGATGCCCTCATTTGGAACTGAGTTTAGAGTTTAAAGTCACTTATAGTTCAATAGTCCTTGGGGAAGCTCACTTGTAGCTCATTCATTGTCACTGTATGTGACCTGTGGACTGTTAATGGCCTGCCAGAGGCCTATGATGTTCATTTCTGTTCTTTGGGAATTGAAAAGCATATGGTTTATGAAATATTCATAAAGTAAAGAGGAAAGGCCACCTGGCAGAGTGTATGAGCAGCTATCAGTAGCTTGACTTTCTCGTTGGTAACTCAGAAAGTAAAACACCTAATCTGTTTCTGCTCATTGTTACCGTAATTCTTCCATGACTCTGTCCTAATACTAGAACTGACATTCATTCTTGTGGATCTTGTGGGTCTATCCTTCTATCCTTTTACTAATTTTTAAAGTATTATTCTTCACTGATACAGGAGATTTGGATGAATAGAATAGTTTGAAAAATAAATAGCTCTATAATTTTTAAAGGAAAGTTTTCTCAAGAAAATTATATTTTTTATTTTATTTATTTTAACAATAGCAATGAGACAGTTTCAAAACCAATTAGTAGGCCAGTTTCAATTATTACTGCACTGGATATTGTTGTCTTCTTAGTGGTTATTCATAGTACAAGATACAGATATGATATCCTGTCCAAACACTATTAGTAAAAATCTTTCTATTCACTGAATTAAGAGAAAGTAACTGTATATCTATCCTAACTATTTTGAATATGTAGATACAAAATGGTCCCTCATCTGTATCCCCTTTCTAAAATTATATTTTTTAAACATCATTTAAAATATATTCATTGGTCCTTTTCAGTAAGAATGGCCAATCTATTCATGGAGCTGTGATGATGTTAAGAGATTATAAGATTGCAAGAGTAGCTTCTTATTTTTTTTTATAATTTTGATCATATCCCTTTTAGAGATATCAAGGACTACGAACTGTTAATATAATGGCTTTCCATGACTGGTTACACAGCACACTCTCTCTTCACCTCTAAAGTGTGTACAAACTAGGCCAGTTTCAGATTACTGCTTTAGTCATTTTGAAAAGTGCCCTTAGAAATTCTTAAGTGTAAGGTCCTGAGTT